GCGTATCGTTTGATGATCGAGGAAAATATACATGTGTTGCTTCTAACATCTATGGCCGAGTAAATAACACTGTTACTCTGAGAGTTGTCTTCACCTCTGGTGATATGGGGATCTACTACATGATTGTATGCCTTGTAGCTTTTACCGTTGTTTTGATCTTAAACATCACAAGGCTGTGCATGATGAGCAGCCACTTGAAGAAGACTGAGAAAGCCATCAATGAATTCTTCCGGACAGAAGGAGCAGAAAAATTGCAGAAAGCTTTTGAAATTGCTAAACGCATCCCGATTATCACCTCAGCAAAAACTCTTGAGCTTGCTAAAGTAACACAGTTCAAGACCATGGAGTTTGCCCGCTATATTGAGGAACTGGCAAGGAGTGTTCCACTGCCACCTCTCATCATGAACTGCAGAACAATAATGGAAGAAATTATGGAGGTGGTGGGACTTGAGGAACAGGGACACAACTTTGTAAGGCATTCGGTTGTAGGACAGGAAACCACTGACACAGAAGAGATGTATATGATTCCTAGCGCTCTGAAGCGTAGAGACTCTCTCACTGCTGAGTCCGATGCCTCTTCTCTGCATGAACCGCCACGCAAGATTGCTATCAAAGTGTCCATTCACCAGTTAACTAAAAAGGACTGTGTGGATGACCAGTCACAAGACAGTGTCCAATTAGAAATTAAAGAAGAGAGGGAGGAAGAGGAGATTGTCGAAGCACCAGCACAGGCACCTGATCCAGTGTCGGACACAGAGTCCCCTGTGGAACCAAATCCTACTGACACAGCTCTGCAAAGTGATAGGGACACTTGCGTTGTTTATGAAAGCCATGTATGATAGGGTTCCCCCCCCCCCTGCAGATCTATGCATAGCAAGAAATCAGGTGGAGTACTCTTTAAAAAAAGAGAGATAATGTATTTGCCACTAAGCCTTACCTGAAGACTATCACAGCAAATGCATGTATGTGGATTACTTGGCACTTTCTTCCTCATTATATAACTTAGTTTAAAAGCTGGACAAAATAATTCCTCTAACACTCATATTAATTCCTTATTTTGGTTCAGGAGAATTTTTTTTCAGTTCAAAAAACATTTACCTCAGAGAATTTTTAAGGCCAGTGTTGCTTTCAGTGGCTACCTGGGAATCGTGTGTAGTTCTTAAGACTCTGAGGTTGCCACAGTCAGTAGAATGACTTTTTTCAGTTGTATGGTTGCAGGATTGCTTATTACATAAGCTGGGGGAAGGGAAGCTGCTTTTCATTTTGCTCTTCTCATTCACTCCTTTCCCTCTTGCGCATTTTTGGTGACTTTGCTCCTAAGGTTTTTGAAAGAGTATCCAATAGGGAACATTTCTAGTTAAGTTAAGATCCTTGTGGGATGTCACATAACAAACATCTGCGCTGAACTGTAGCAGAGGGATAAAGAAGGCCAAATGCATTTATTTCATGGGAAGGCAGACAGTTTGTGTTTAAAGCATGTGAAAAACATCCATTTTCTTCTTCAAGGTGGGCGGGAACCAGAAAATGCTCATTCACAGAGAGGATACACAGCCCATTTGTTTTTTGTTGGAAGGAGAGGGTTTGTCCCCAGCCAGAAAGCCACAATGCAAACAATAAGTGTAACTCCCCATTTGCTATGCTCGGATGGCCAAGTGCAAAGGAGGACAGGGATCCTTGTGTAGCCAGAACAGGGCATTTCTAAAGGGGACCCTTTTCTCATCCCCACCTAACAAGCAGCACCTGCAGGGATAAGCAACTTTAGGGGCCCCCCACATACACATACTAGTGGTTCCATGGAGCCATTTGCAGATACGAAAACACCATCTGTGCAGGCAGGGAGAGGCTAAAGCCGTTTCTCCCTGTGTGTTGTGGTCACAAACAGAAAAGAGCTGGTGTGCATCTGGGAGACACAAAACTTCCATTGCATGTGTGATTCAAAGTCCTTCTGTTGTTTGCTAACAAACACAAGGACTTTGTAATATGTAGATGGAGCCTCAGGAAACATATTCCCCTTTGCATTTGGTCAACACAGAGGTACTAGTAATTTCAGTGGGACATGAACACAGGTAATCGTGCAGATTTTGCTGTTATGGCTCAGTGACAGAACGTATACTTTGCATGCAGATGGTTCCAGGTTCAGTTCCCACTATCTCCAGTTAAAGGACCTCAAGGAACAGGTATTGGGGAAGACTTTTCTCTATCAAGGACCCTGGAGAGCTGCTGCCAGGCACAGTGCGCAATACTGAGCTAGTCAGACTTGGTATAGGGCAGCTTATGTATTTGATATTTTTACACATACACAATAATCTGTCGTCAAGGCACTGACATCTATTTACCACAGCTCTCATATTAAGTAGGGGTCAGTAGATGCTCTTACTTGATTTGGATGAGGTTAAACAATTGTCCATATATTTATAGCAAAGTCCCTAAAGAGTTTCGCTATACAATGAAATGGCAAACGCTATGTCAGCAAGGGCATGGTTGTGCAATTGTTTTGCTAATTAAAATAACCATATTCTTCCTCTGTGGGAAGCTTGCAGATACTTGGCCATATGTGATGCATCCTTCCACAGCTTTCAGGATCACAACTGAGTAGGTGGATTAGCAACTTACACTTTGCATTTAGGCTGAAGCTGAAGTAATGATCTGCATTTCATTTCTATAATAATAGCATCACTCTGTAGAGATTATTTACAAGAGTGAATTTTGCGAGAGCCATGGCACATTATTAAATGCACACCTAATGTGCATTTCACTTAGAGCTACTGAAGTCTTGTGATGTAAAGAAATAATCTTGAAGACCCTCTGTATTTATGAAATCAATTCATTGCTAATGTGTTTTTTCATGGAAAGAAGCCATCAGAGTTCTGTGAGGTCCATAGGCATACATTTGCACTAGAATTTATAGGCAGCTGATGCTTGTTTTGGTAGAGATCAAATAACCTCACTGAATAAATAGATGTGAATAAGTAAAACAACTCCAGTTCCAGTCATTCAGGATGTAAGAATCAAGATTTGTGCCATCTTGTCACACCACCCAACCTGTTATATCATGCTTGGGGGGAGGGACAGGGTTGCACTTACCTGTTTGTTCATGGAGTGGTCCTCTGTGTAGTTCCACACAGGCTATTCAGAGAAACATCTTCCTGTATGCCCATTCACATAGAAGGACAATACAACAGCACAACAGGTGTGTTGAGCAGATAGGTAAGAACATGCCATGAATAGTCCCTCGGCAACCATTACTTACAGCCAGTCTTCCAGGACTGGGGCCAGCCCTCAGTACATCTGTTAGTCTCGAGGGATGTCCTCATTTCTGTTCAAGGGCAGTGTCAGACAGGGACTCCATGGAAGACACTTTTTGGTTTCGATGGGAAGGGGACTTGTTCTGTGCTTTTCCCCCTTTTACTGTACTTCCCAAAGTGGTTGGCAAACTGAAGGCAGAAAGACCAGCATGTATACTCGCAACACCTTACTGGCCCAGGACAATGTGGTTTTCAACCATATGAAACCCCTCTCAGGAGGTATACAGGAGCCTCCTACTGAGGGAAGATCTACCACACGTAGGCCCCCTCCTGCATCATGATGTTACATCCCTACATCTGACAGCGTGGCTAATACAACAATAGGCCAATGGTGATAGGGTTGTGGAGGTGCTCATCTCAGCCCATACGTTTTTAAAGAAAACTGTACTTTATCAGTTATAACCCTCATCTGAGTTCTGACCACTGCCGTTCAGACAGCCATAGCTCCTACAGGCTTTGCTTCCCAAACAGCTCTTGGAGGTAGATGGCTTTCCTACAATATTAATCCTCAAACAGCTAGATAGTTTTGTAGATACATCTTACTCATTCAGAGAGAGAGAGCAATGTATTTAAAAACTGCAAAGATCTTGTGGCCTTGCGCTCCCTCCATTTTCATCATTCCCTCCAGGGAACATGCTTGTATCATCTAGTCTTAATGCCTGCTTTGGCAGCAGGTCACTTGAGACCAGTTATGCTATACCAAAAAAACAAAAAAGGGGGGGGGCTCACTTTAATCAAATAAGCATTGTGATCATGGCCATCAGCTGATTCAGAAACCTGGCACAAGCACATTTACAGCTACCTTTGTTTTGTACAGGGGCACATCAACTTTGAGAGAGGGGCTGAACAGTGGCACATGTGAACTTGGGAGGCTCCTCCTAAGAGGTCTTAAGATGTATACCCACAATTTTAAGTTTTTAAAAATGCACAATACACACTACATTTCAGCAGCTCCTAAAAAAGGGCAGAACAATAAGTCACTTAAAAAAATCATTATAACTTCTGAAGGTGCCACATGTACAATCCACTTCAGTATCCAGTTGATTGCATCTGCTACTTGGGTATTAACAGAACTAACAGAACTAACAGAATGTATGCAATTGCCGTAAACATTAAGAGACCCCGGGACAAATGATTCCATGAATGTTAACTGTGTTCATGTCAAGTAAATCAAGCTAAAATATACTATACATGATAATATTTGTTAAAATAACTGAAATTAACATTGTTAGTTTTTGTTTCCTCCTCATTCTTTCACAAAGGGTGCAATCCTGTGTACCAGTAGTCCCATTCATTTCAGCCAAGCACTGTAGTTATTTAAAAGGCTTAACTGGGAGTCATCTTCTTGAAGCCCATGTAACTATTCCTTAGCAAATGGATTAAGAATTATAGCCTTAATTTACTTTTGAAAATTAAAAGGGCAGTTTAGTTTGCATAAAGCCAGGGGTGCCATTGTACACAGAAATATTTTGTTGAAGCTGTACTATATGAGGGAGTTTTCTTAGGTGGAACAATCCCTAAGGCAGAGTTGGAGCATACTCGCCTGTTGAAGCTGTACTAAAGAAATCTATTTTGTCATTGTATGAAAAAAAAAAACCAGAATACCTTTTGTGTACAAATTACCTACCTATTGTAAAGTTCAAAAAGAATACTGAAGAGACATGTTGGAAATAAGCTTCCCCACTGTAGCATACAGAATGGTTCCCCTCTGTAGCTTGTAACTGATTCAAAGCATTACTTCAATGTGATTTTATTTTAAAATCATAATAGCCAGCAGAAGGATAACAACCCTTCCCCTTCCCTTTGGTTCTAACCCTTACTATGGACCTAGACTAGGGATACTAAAGACAATAGCCATTCCCTTGACTGCCCACCATTCTTTATGCTGACTATCCAAAAAGGGTTAGCCTCCCCCCCCCAATTTCCCCTTAGAATGACCCAACTGTTCACAAGCGTTTGCAAAACTTCCACCTGGAGGAGAAAAGGGAATTTAGTTTTTGCTAGGCAGATACTGATTACAAAAAAGAAACCAAATGTTGACTAAAGATCTTGTCTGTGCATTCATGACCTTCATCTCCTCCTAAATCTAACTGGAAAATATGAGGTACATAAGTTTGGCAACCAAAGTGTGGCCACCATTAAGTGTAATCTCACACTTAAAGACTGGGTAATCTTACTCTTCCATTTTTCATCCAGAAACTGTCATGAAGTCTCTCCTTCTCCAATTGACCAACTGGGGGAAAAGCCTCTTCCAACAGCATGAACCCATTGTTCATAAACCTATCCTCCTGACCACATCCCTTTACTTGCTAAAACATCCCAGTATTTTCTGATTCCAGAGACTCTTCTGTACCTGTAGGGTACAGGCACAATGTTGTTTTGTAAACTAGTCCTTAAAATCTCAGCAGCATTCCTTCCCTGGCCAGATTACTAGCTGCAAGCTTATTTAAAATTCTAAAGATTTTTTCAGATCTCAGATATAAGAGGATCTAGTTGTCATGATGCCGGTAAGATACTTCCATTAATATTTATTTTAGTTCATTCCAACAGAAAATTATTTTTTTTAAAGAAGGTTTTTCATTGTCTTGCCTTCAACTACACCACTGTTTTCTTTAACATTTCCATGTTCCTTCTCCATTAATTGTTTTGTCTCCCCCAAAAAGTGTGCATGCCCTCTGATGTCAGCAGAGTTGTCTTCATCACAGCTTACAGAGACTGCAGTTTGAAAATTCAGCACCTACCCACATTTCTGAATCATCAGTGTGGGTACCGTATACCATGATAATTCAGTGCTTCATTGTCATTCTACTGTATAAATAATTCAGATCTTGTGTCCTGTAATATACCATCAGATCAGATATTTCTATCTTTAAGCAGCATGTGGGCTACATCTCAATCAAGTGTAGTGTATTTTAAAGAGCTGCTATTCAAGCCTAACTGTAGAGGGCTGCCCATAATTATCTAGGCTACTCTGACAAAATGAATATTTAAGAACTGCTAACCTTCTAAGTTCATAGGATGTAGGATTTCTAAAGCAAATTAGCTACAGTGAAGCAGCTTGTACTGAAGCTAAGACAGCAACGTCAGATATTTTCTTTGTCATTTAAACAAAACTAATAAAATTGATGGTGTACTATATAGAAGCATCATTTTAAAAATAAATTTAAGAGTGGTACATGTCAGGATTTCAAGGAGACAGTGATAAACCACAAAGAGCAATTATGCTACTGTGGCAGAAATGTGGAGTCTTTGTACAGTCTTCATTGGTCACTTTATATAGGTCTGTGCAGGGGACATGCCCATCCTTCTTAAATCCATTAGCAAGCCTAGCAATGGCCCCTTTCCCCACATACTGTGTGCAATGTGTGCTGCATGAGGGCACAAGAGAAACTCTGCCTGTCACTGATACACCTCTTCCTTCTCTCAAATAATTTCCCAATGGAGGGAACTACATTCTGTCTTTCACTCCCCCTACCATCTTATTTTCTGGCCTGTTTCCTAATTCAGAAAGTCAAGAGGTGAGAAAAAGGAAGGGCAATGAATGGAAAAATATTCCTTATGTTCCCACTCTTGACTTTTTTGACTGATTCCACAACTCAACAAAGCTGTGAGAAGCTACATGGGGGGAAAGAACAAAAAAACCAAATTATCTTTTTGCCTGCCCCATCATCTCCCACTGGTGTCTGTTTTAGGCCATTGGCCACTGGTTGCCAATCTCTATTGTTTAGGTGCGTGCATTCAGCATAAACCAAGCTGGGAAAATACCCAGGAAAACACCAGTATTTTTCGGGTATTTTAAAGCCAGTTTTAAATTGGGGCTGCATTTTGGCTATCCAAAATGGCCAAGCTCTGAAAATCCCAAAAGTATTCGGGGTTTTGGGGGCTTCTGGACAGCGGAACTTAAAGGGTACTTAAAGAGATCATGGTCCCTTTAAATGCCTTCTCCAAGCCACGCAAGTCCGCAGTGAGTTCACCTGGAAGGTGCTTAAAGGGCTCGCAGTCCCTTTAAATGCTTTCCAGGTGAACTTGCTGCTTGCAGAAGGCATTTAAAGGGACCGTGAGCCCTTTAAATGCCTTCAGAGTTCATCCCCAGCTTGCAAAAAACCTTTAAAGGTACCATGTTCTATTTAAATGCTTTCCCCTTCCATTGGAAACTATGGAGGAT